AGAATCCCTGTGTGCCCTTTAGCACTGGAGCCAAAGATCTTTGAGCACTTTGGTAGGAATTCTTTTTAATTAGGTCTTTCCCACACAGAGGAGAGGGAATCAGAGAGAGAGAGAATGAGGGAATACTTTGTTCCGGAATTTAAGCACTACCTGGAGAGGTTATTTCTAGCCACAGACCAAAGGCACAGAGCATTTTTAGCTTAGGCGACTGTGGAGACAGAGCGACACGTTGAGGCGTGGAGGCGGACGCTGGAGGGGCTCTGCCTTTCTGAGGCTGCCCGGCTGCATCGCTGAGCTAGAGCCCAGGCTCCGAGATGGCTCCCCCTGCGCCAGAATTCGGCGTGGTGATTCCTGACTGAGGACTTTTCTTTCCTACGCTCCCCGTGCCCCTTTGGCTGGAGGCTGTTCGAGGCAGTGTTTTTCAGTGCCTGCCGACGCGCTAGCCAACCACTTAGTGTAAAATTGCCCGTAAAAGTGAATTTGAATTACAGGTGATAAAGCTACGGCCCAGCCCGTTCTCCCGTAGCTGACCCCTCTGCTCTCCACGGGCGGGTGAAGCCCAGATTCCTCCTGACAGGAGCAATGTGGCACCTCACTGAGGTCACCTCAGACGGAAGCTGCATCCTGCGGGCTGGGAAATACAGGCTTCTCACTGGATCCCTGAGGAGGGGGACACAGCTCCCCGGGCCAGTGTGTCTGTCTCTCCCTCCTGACTGTCCAGGCAGGCACTGTTGGCCGTGTTTCTCACATATAGACCGGTTCTGCCCAGGGTCTTCCAGATTAGCCATTTGTTCATTCTTTCCTGAACACAACAAGTATTTATTGGGCTGGATCTTGTCCTAACCCTGATCTTTTAAAATTTTTATTTATTTGTTTTTGTCTTTTTGAGACAGGGTCTCACCATGCAGTTGAGGCTGACCTTAGGCTCACTTTGTAGCCCAGGCTGGTCTCCAATTTGCAATGATCCTCCCACCTCAGCCTCTTGAATGCTGGGATTACAGGAATGCACCGTCACGCCCACCTCCCAGCCCTGACCTTTCAAAGATCACCAGGCTGTGTCCTCCGGAGCCCCAGTGAAAGGAAAGTGATTTAGTTACCAGGTGTATTCAAGGCATGGATGAGACAGAGTGAAGGCACCAGGCAACCTTCTAGTGGAGGGAACAGTTTCTGCCCAAGAGGGCACTATGCCGTGGAAACTGAAGGGTCGGGGGGGGGGGGGAGAACAGTGACCATGCCTTTGAAATTTCTGCTGTACCTGGTGTCACGTGTAACAGGGTCAGGAAGCGTCCGTCTCACTCATTTTAGGTGGGTTCTGGTGACTGCTGCTCTGTTCCTAGCTTCCTCCCCCAGCCCGTTAGTACCTCCCGCCCTTTTGTGAGTTTGTCAGACTCACGTGGATGGGTGCATGTGGGTGCACAGCACCCCAGGCTGTGCCTCTGGGTGCCAAGGTGCCCACAGGGTGGACGTGGCACAGTGACAATGGTGATATATGCAGAGTCCTCCAGCCCGGCTCCCAGCCAGCTCCCCTTCTCATTCCATGTACACAGGGTCCTGTGCCACCTGACACACAAAGGTGGGCAGCAAACAGGGACTGGGCCCGCATCTTTGCTGGCAGCAGAAGGCCCTAACTACCTAGGTATCACCGTGGTCCACTGAGTGTCGCTGTGCTGTCTGACTTGTAGCAGGCCTGGAGGCAGGAGGGCCCCTTGTGGAAACTCCCTGAGTTTCCGTCCCAGCTCGTCTTTCCCTGGCTGAGCCGTTCTGGGTAGATTACCAAACCTCTCCATTTCCAGGTCTGTAAAGGGGACAGGATGTGAGTGCGTCTGATCTCATACATGAATCAATGGATTCCGCCTTTCCGCCTCAGGGGGCCTGGTGTCTAGAGCTGAGGTCAGGAGCATAGTGAACAGGGAGTCAGCAGAAGGAAGCCCTGGAGACCGGAGGATGCACGTTACCTGGAAGCAGCCAGAGCTGTGTGGGGAGTTTACCACTGCAGGGGTACAGCAGCAGCTCCCAGGCCCCCCTACTACGGTTCGTGTTTTTTACCAGGCCGTCTGGGAGGGGCGGCCACCTGCTTCCTCCTTTGTGCCAGGAAGGGCTCGAGGGGTTGTCTTTGTGTCCTTCGTTTGTGGCTCGCATTTAGGTGGGGAGTGAGGATGAGGGACTGGGGAAGCTGTCCTCCACCTGGCACTTCTAGAGCCCCAAGACAAAAGTGACGCCCCCTCCTGGGCCATCAGTGTAAGCCGGGGAGTCTGGAGGATGAGAAAGGCAGTGCTTGGCCCAGAACACCCAGGGACGTCTCGCGGGGTGGAACGCACAGTGTGTTCTGCGGTGCAGTACTGCGGATATTTCAGGAAGTCTCCAGACTGTGGGAGCTGTTCCCAGGAAAGCTCTGGACCCCCGGGGTCTGTACTTCTTTGCTTTCTGGGTCTTCCAACAGAAAAGCTGAAGAAGCATCAAGGGCTGAGAAGCACTGGTTGAGTCCTAGGGGTGGGGGTGGGGGTGGGGCTCTGGCTGAGAAAGGGGGCACAGGTTGAGACAGGGGCTGTGGCCTTTTGTTAGAGGGGGGACAATAATGAAGCAGAGCTGGTGGGAGGTCGATAGGGGGCTGCTCAGAGGGGCAGGAGACAGGCCTCTTCCACTTGTGCTCTCTGCTGGGCCCGAGTAGAGCCCTCCTGCCCGATCTCGTGGTGAGCAGCCTCCCCCACGTCTTGCCATCACAGCCCTGGTGGTGATGACCACAGACTTCACAGGCACCACTCTGGCCAGCGTGCTTGGGGGACAGTGTGTACTGGACCTCATTCCCGGCCCAGGAACATGAGGCACTGAGCATGCACAGAGCCCTCCGCCTCCCAGCTGGTATTTTTCCACAGGGCTTGGGTTATTTTGGGGAGCCCTAGACATAAGCAAATGATCAGTTGTGGTCCTTTGCCATGGTTGAGCCAATGTCCTAGTCAAAGCATATCACCTCCTGGCCAGGGGTTGCCCATGGCGTGGACCTGGAGGAGGGAGGCTCCCCGGGTCTCTTAGAATCCAAAGGGTGCAGGCGAGGCTGGGTCAGAGGCAGCAGGTGGGCTCATTAGACCCATACGGGGATGCTTTCAGCCGTCTGGAAAGACAGGGACAGGGCCCTGGGGTCCTGCCCTGTGTTTCTCTGCTTGTCCCCGCAGTGGGCCAAACCGCATAGCAGTGCCTCCTCGCCACTGCTGACCCAGTCTGTGCCCCAAGCCACACACTTTTCATTTGACTCTGTGCTCCTGGTGAAGGGGTTGTCCCATGTCTCACTGGGGTGCAGGGCCTGCCACATACGCTCAAGAAATAGCTGTTAAACAGATTAATGGGAAGACCCCATGGGGAGGGTAGGCCCTGGGCGCAGGCTCAGGGCGTCTTGTGAAACCCTTGGTTTGTGTCGATGGCTGATTGAGCGTGGGGTAGGAGAAGGTGGGGTAGCCCACACTTGCCCGGCTGGGGGCAGAGTACAGCCTTGCTGAATGTGACCTTGACTGTGACCAAATGGTTTATCATCTCATGGGAGAGAACAGGGCTGTGGTGGTTACTTAGCAGGGGACTCTGGGGAAGGGGCTAGTTTTACGGGCGGGGGTGGTGTCAGGGGGAGAAGGCACTCAGATTGGCAGGTGTGGTGCCAGGGCAGGGTGCTTGGAGCTCTTCTCCTGGAGACAGCTGAGCCTGTAGTGATTACTCCTGTGCCTCTGCTCAGATGAGGTGACCAGGGCTCCTGTCGACAGTGGAGGTTGCCACCAGGTCTGGATGAGCACAGCTTCTGGGTCATCTGAGGCAGCCCTATCCAGGATGCATGGGGGCACAGAAGTGACCTGGCAGGCAGCGACAGGCAGGCCCCCGGTCCCAGAGGACTTAAAGCCTGGAGGTTGTACGGACTGGATGCCCTGGGGTCCCTGGAGCCCTCCCAGCAGGGCAAGACAGTTTTCTGAGACAGGAAGTTTGGGACCCTAGGCTCCAAACTAACAGTGAAGGGACACCAGAATGTCAGTCATTCTTCCCTTGCTAGGACAAAGTGCCAGATTCCCATCATTTAAAGGAGAAGTTTACTTGGCTCATGGTTTCAGAGGGTCCAGTCTATGGCTATTTCTGGCTCCAAGGCAAAATGGTGAAGAGCCTGGCAGGGGAGAGCTGCTCAACACCGGGAAACAGAAGGAGAAGGGAGGAGCTGGGGACTGATAGAATTTTGGCATGGCTGAAAAGATAGGAAGTATGAAATTAAAATGGCCTTTATCTTAGGAATGTGAGGAGAGACTCCCTGACCCTCTGGGGTCTGGCATTGTCCCCAGGGGCTGGCATTCTCTCCGGCAGTCACGTGGTGTGGGGCATACATGTAGCTTAGGTTTGGGGTGGTGCCTAAGGGGCATTAGGGATGCACAGGTAGCCCACTGGTATTCATTTCACGCCACAGGTAAATTCCTAGGGGCGGGGGAGATAGAGCCCCTTGGTTCTGCCTCCCAGGCTTGATCAGCTACAGTGTCCCAACTGGGGCAAAATCCTTTCAGGGACAAGAATGCACTCTTCCGGGTCATGTGCCTAGTCACCCTCTCCTCCAGCCAAGCCTTGTTTCCTAACAGCAGACTCAACTATGAACTCACCAGTGGATCACTCAGTGGTGCCAGTCGCCTTCCAGAAGCCCCACCTTTGAACACACAAGACTTTGAGGGGCCCATTATAGATCTCTACCATAACTGCTGAGGACCAGCTGTGTGTCTTTGGGCAGACCCAGCCCTACAGGAGGAGCACAGCGGGGCAATTACAAAAGGCCCTCCCTGGCAGTATAACCTGGGGGGATCTCCGTCCCCTTTACCCCTGGCTGCACTCGTTTGTTCAGTGAAAACCCTATACCACTGTACACAGCCATCCCGTTCACTCCTTTTCCAACTATATGAACTGGGGTGAGCTCCAGCCCCCCCCCCCACCTCCCGTCACAGGGAAGGTGGATTTCTTGAGGCTCAGATTCTAAAAGGCTCTTCTCTCAGTAATTTAGGGGTGCCACCAGGCCGGGGGAACTGCCCACTCACCATGCCCCTGCCTTTTGACCTCATCTACACGGACTACCACGGCCTGCAGCAGATGAAACAGCACATGGGACTCTCCTTCAAGAAGTACCGGTGAGCGCGGGAGGACCGTGGTGCAGGACGGGAGCGTAGACCAGGGCGGAGGCTGCTCCCTGCGTCCTGCCTCATGTCCAGGGCTCTAGGATGGAGAAGGCACCGTCTGTGTTCTCCTTGCCTTTGTCCCCTTTCCCGTCCCCATCCTCCAGAGGGAGAGTCACCCGCTTTGTCCCTCTGCTTTGCCCCTCAAGGCCAAGGGTGAGGGTCAGGGGTCACCTGGATGCAGCAGTCAGAGCAACACCAAGAGGCACCAGGAAGCCCCAGGGCTCAGCGGTGAGGTCCAGGGTGGGGGAGCGGTCTGGGGCAGGCCGCTGCTTCCCTTCCCGTCTCTGCAGCTGGCCAAGGCAGGGTTTAATTTAGCACAGGGAGCCTGCTATTTATTACATTTGCTCCAGTGCCACTGACTAGCCCACATGGTTTTATTAGGGGGAAGAAGTGACAGGCCCTGTTATTGCTTTTATTATTAATGCGCGTTCTCCGTGCACCAGCTCGCCTCCCCGGGAATTCTGCCGACCTCAGCATCCTGCTGCCAGCTCTGGGCTGCCAGGAGGGAGCTAGGGCTGGGAGCTTCTTGTAGGGGCATCTACATTCTAGTGCTTTTGGTGGGGGGACACTCCCAGGCGTGGGATGCATGGTGGGGGAGATGCCAGAGCTGTGGGTTCAGAGCAGGTGTGGCCTTGGTGTTGGCTTTGGGCTTTGATGCTCAGACAGCTATGTCCACCCCGGAAGCAGCCAGCTTGCTGAGGGGTCTTGAGGCACTGCAGTCTCAAACACAGCCACTCATGCCTAAGACCCACGGGTGGGTGCTCCCCACCCAGACAAAATGCAAATCCCACACCCTACAGGTGACCAGGAGGTCAGGAACTGTGAACTGTCCTGAGACAGGTTGGGGAAGTTGAGGCAGACAGGTTAAGGAATCGGCTGAGGTCACCCAGCCTCTCAAACTCTAGCTGCACGTGTAGGCCAGGCTCCACCGTGCCCCAGGCGCCTGTGCCTTACAGTGGCCCTGGCTGGGAACCTGCAGCCCAGGCACACACAGAAGGGTGATACTGGTTCTGGGTTCCTGGGATGGGGTAGGTGCCGAATCCGGGTCATTGACACCTTTGGGACAGAACCTGCTTATAACCACGAGGAGTATGCCACGCTGCACGGCTACCGGACCAACTGGGGCTACTGGAACCTCAACCCCAAACAGTTCATGACCATGTTCCGTGAGTGCTGGGAACTCTCGGGGTGGGGCGGGCGCTGGGCTTCGGCCTCCTGGCTCCCTCTTCCTTCTAGGGGTATGGAGAGTGGGCCAGGTCTGCCGGGGATCAGGAGGAGGCGTGGGGCTGGGGCTGGTGACCTCCCGCAGGCCGGAAGGCGGCTAGGCACATTCAGAGTTAAGGCCTCAGAGGGGACCAGAAACTTCTCTGGGGGCAGGGGAGCAGAGAACTGTTTCTAGCGGAGGGAGCAGATGTGGATGTACAGACAAACAAACCCAAGGGGCTGGAAGTTAGGAGCTTAGGGAGAGCAAGCTCCCCTCCAGCCTCCGCTTCCCGGCACTAGGTGTACAGCCCAGCATCTCCTTCCCACTGACCTGCATCTCCAGCTGCTTTTATATTTTTAACTTGGAGACAGCGTCTCACTAAATTGCCCAGACTGGGTTCAAAGTTTGATCCTCCTGCCTCAGCCTCACAGGGTGCTGGGATTATAGGCCTGGACTATAATCCGGCTTCCTCATTTCCCATGAGATCCTTGGTGAAATGGGCTGAAAGTAATTTAACCTTTTTCTGGCAACTTCCATCAGTTTCGTGGGTCTGGTGCAGGGCCTGCCCTGCTGGGCCGAGGTGCGTGGAGTGGAGTTCTCTCCTCTATTCCCTCCAGGCCGGGCTGTCGTTTAGCCTGGCCTTGCTGGAAGTATATCAGCTGTCACTTTTAATTGTTGTCAGTTCTGCGGCCTCCAGTAGCATCTTGCACGTCTAATTTGCTGCTCTTTGAAGGCTCTGGGGCAGAAAGCCAGATAAGCACCCTTGTTAGGATTGTATCTAAATTAAGAGCAAAATAGATTCTAGGCAAAGTCCTGCAGGGTTTGCTGATAAGGGAAGCAGCGGATGATCTTTATTTAGCCTGTCAAATCTGGGGTGTCTCTTTGGGCACTCATCTTTGTGTGCAAGCTCTCTTCTCCAGGCTCTAGGCTGATGGGAGAGGGGAGTCTGATTTCTGAAGAAATAAGCAATGGCTTGATCGCGTGCCGGGAAGGCGGGATGGTGGAAGGCTGCGTGGAGTCCAGAGGAGGAAACATGTCCAGAGAGCTGGAGTGGTCAGCTTGTGGTTGTGGTCACACAGCTCTGTGGGAACTAGATTGTCTCCTCAGTGCTCCTGTGTGGGAAGAGGGGTTTGTGTGGGGTGGGGCCCAGGCAATGGACTTCCTGAAGGAAAGGAAGTGTGGACCAGGGAGTGGGGAAAGAGCTGCAGAGCTGGAAGCGGCCAGAACTGTGAGAGGACCCTGGCGGTCAGGGAACAGAGGTGGAGTGTTTCCAGGAAGGTCCTAGAGTTTCCATTTGGGATCCACTGTAGGTTCTTTAACATTTTTTTTTTTTTATCGGTACCGGGGATCAAACTCACGACCGCCTGCTTGCAAGGCAGGTGCTTCTGCTGCTGAGCTAAATCCCCACTGTGGGTTCTTAAGCGAGAGCATGCCATGGAGAAAAGATGTGACTGGGCTGTGTTACCCTAGAGAGTTATAGGTAGCTCTAGGGCTCCGTAGAGAATGGGGAAGTAGAAGATAGGTTAAGAGGATTGTGCAGTAATCTACACTGAGAAAATGAGGACTTTCCCAGGGTAGAGTCCACTGGATAGGGAGTCCAGACCTGGCGAACTTCTACTCAGCCTCCAAAGCCCAAGTCAAATGTCTCTTTTTATTCTTGCTCTCACTGGTTCCCCTCATCACCTGTGCCATGCAGAAGGTATCGACTCCTAACTTTAAAACTGAAGTCACCAGAAGCGTATATTGAAGTGTAGTAGATATTTGCTCCTACACTTATTTCCCCTGAAGGATTGTGTAGCACTTTTTTAAAGGGGGGTATTAATTAATTTATCTTAGTCTAGAGTTTCTAGGTTCTCAGAGAATGTGAAATGAATAAATTGAAGAGGAAGCAGTCGGGAGGTGAGAAGCTCACTAGCTGAAAAGGCGCACAGACTCCCTGAGCTCACTTCTCTCCTGTCTGTCTGTCTGGTGTCTTTCCCAGGGCCCTAACCAGGACCTCTGGGGCCCTGCCCCCGGGGGCTTTCTGAATGGCCTCTGCTATTTTAATCGCTCCCAGTACCTCCCTGACCTCTCCCACCCAGGTAGCTCACTGCATTCTAACCCTGTCCTTTTTGGTGGCTCTGGAGGGGAGAGGGCTTTGGCCGTGTGCTGTGGTCAGGTTTTCAGACCCAAGGATCTGAGACCTCCAGGAACTGTGGCAGGAAACCCTGGTGTCTTTGAGATGCACTGATGTTAGGATTTTCTGTGGGGCCCCTGGGGCGGGGTGTGGGCGGGAAGATGCTGAACATGTATGCCCCAATTTGAGCAAAGCTGAAAGTGGGGTGTGTGTCTGAAATGGAGAAATCAGGAGTGTGCCTGTGCTCAGTCTCCCCACCGGCCGGGCTGCTTTCACCCAAGACAGCAGATTAAATTTTACTCGAGGTCCCAGCACACAGAGTAGGAGGCCGGGGAGCAACCAGGTCCCAGGAACCCTCCCCCTCCTCAGCAGGGCCACTTGGGGAGCACAGACCTGTCTGAAGAGGGGGTGCGCCTCTGCAAGTGGGGTGATGGGGAAAGGCACACCTCAGAGCGGACGGGCAGAGCTAGGACTCTGGGGAGGCTCTGGCCTGTGCGGTTTGTGCAGAGGAGGGAGCTGAAAGGTTCTATAATCCAAAGGATGGTTCTAGAGAAAAGATTGTGCCAAGGACGCGGCAGATGCCAGGAGGCAGCTGTCACAGTGGCCAGGCCAAGGTGGGTGTGGCCTGGCTGAGAGGCAGGGTGGAGGAGAGGGACGGAGTCCCATCTGGAATGACGCCTGGAGTCACCTGGGCGCCCTGGGTTTCAGTTTGCTTATCTGAAAATGAGGAGAGGGTGGTTAGATGGTTTCTTAGGTCTCTGCTCCATGCCGCATGACAGTGTCCGGAAAAGAGGTCCCCAGGGTAAGATGAGGATGGACATCGTCCCCGCTAGACCCCTGCCTCTCGTGCCTTACTCGCCCTGCCCAGTGACGACCCTTTGGACAGGGCCAGTCTTGGGAGACTTGGGTGTGTCCTCGGCTATTTGGTAACCCGATTCCTCCTGCGTGGTCCGGCTACAGCTCACACTCCGGACAACTCTTTCATGGGCTTCGTATCAGAGGAGCTCAACGAGACGGAGAAGCAGCTCATCAAAGGCGGCAAGGCCAGCAACATGGCTGTAGTGTACGGCAAGGAGGCGAGTATCTGGAAGGTGAGCGGGGCACACCCACCGCTGAGCAGCCACGCCCACAACAGTATTGGTGACACCTTGCAGGCCAGGCTGTGCCTACTGATCTGTCGACACACCTATGTCAGCAAGGCCATGCCCACTAACATGCGGGCTGCCCACTGCCATATTGGCTGTGCTTAAAAGACCAGGTACTGGTCCCCCTGCACTGAGTACCTGGCAGCTCTGCAGTCTGCACCTGCCATCCACCGCTGCCAGCACTGGATGGAAAATGCCTCCCACTAAATGATTCAGGACTATAAAGTCCTTTTCATTCAAAGTCGCCCATCCTGTAGGCTGACCACTTGTCTGCTGGGGTGCCCCCAGATAGGAAACTCACCTGATTCCTTTATTGAGGACCATGACTAAATGCTCTGTCCCCATCCCCCCAGGAAGGAACTGATAAATAGTGTAAGCCCCAGGGGGGATTTAGGCTGGGTGTGAGGATTCTGGGATGAGAAGCAATGAGAGGCTTGCAAATCGGAAGCCCCTGTTCAGGGGTGACTCCCCAGGGAAGGGCTGCATGTGCATGGGGTGATGCCTGCTGACTGCGCACTAACTTACTGTCTCTCCTCTGTTCCCTGTGCTCCCTTGGTGATGAGTTAGCTCCAGGTATGGAAACCCTTTGCCATGTGCCTTTGGCCTCTGCGTGGGCCCTCCACACTTGGGGTCTTTCCAGGAGATGTTCCTCTGTCTCAGTCCCTCTGGGGTCTGTAGCTCCCATGGGGAGGAAGGTGGTGGGGAACAGCAGGGTCCAAGGAGGTGTCTTCTTGGGTCGCTTTGTGAGGGGAGACGCAGGTCAAGGCCTGCTTGGCCTGACCTCAGGCAGTGGCTAGGGCTGGGCAGAACTGGCTGAGTCAGCGACACAAGGCAGGTGCCAGGACGTAAAGGTTAACAGCAAAGATGCCAAAGATGGGAGACATGCTGACAGCACCTGTACAAGCCCGCTCCCTATACCTGACTTGTTTAGTCTTTTTAATTATTTTAGCACTGCATCCTTGGTTTGTGAAAGTCTAAAATTGTAAATGAACACTTTTACCTTTAGTAAGAAAAGAAACTGAACCCCTAGGAAGCTGAGAAAGAAGGATCAAAAGTTTTGAGTCCAGGCTGGGCAAATTAGTTGTTAGAACTACTCTGGGCAAAGACTGTCCTCCTCCAAAGTTGGGCCTCTTTGTTCAGCTGTGAGGACATGGACCAGAACGGGAGGCAGTGTAGGGTCGTGGCTGTGGGTTAAGAAGCAGCAGGGTGGCTCATGCCTATAACCCTGGCACTCTGAGAGGCGGAAGCAGGAAGACAGAGTGCAGACCCAGCCTGGGAAACGCAGCGACTTAGGAGGACCTTACCTCAAACTAAAAAACAGAAAATGAGCTGGGGATGTAGCTCAGTGTGAAGGCCCTGGGTTCAGTCCACAGGAACCCTGCACACACAGACCGACACCCGTGCGTGCGCACAAAGTATTTAGATTCATCTCACCCCAGTGGAGATATGCTTGTTATATTTTACTTCTCTATATTTATTTTGCAGTATGTTACAGTTGCCTATTTAGATTTATGCATGTTTTTCCTTTATGCCACTCTGTGTTCTGCTTCTATCTCCGAGGTTCTGTCTGGGATCATCACCTGTCTACATAAAGAACACCTGTAGTTTGGGCTGGCTCTGTTTTTGATTTTCTAAAAATCCCATTATTTCACTTTGATGCTTGAGAGATATATTTGGCACACACAGGATGCTAGCTTGGTGGTTGCTTTTTGTCAGCATGGGAAGAATCTGCCACTTTCTGACTTCTGGTGTGAAGCTTATTGTGGCTCCTTTGTATGTAGTTTGTCCTTTTTTCTCTTCCTGCTTTTAACTCTGTGTGTTTGACTTTGGGCAGTTTTACCCTATGCGTGGTGTGGTTTTTAAAAATGTACATCTTTAAACTTGTGGTTTGATAACTCACTAGTTTTACAAAATTGCCTTTGAATATTGTTTCTGCCCCAGGCTCCCTCTGTCTCTGTCTCTCTATCTCTGTCCCTCTCTGTCTCTCTGTCTCTCTCTGTCTATCTCTGTCTCTTGTTTCTGGGACTCCATCCATCCATGGGTCTCCAAGGTTTCCTCTTTCTTTCTTACCCTCTCTGCTGTAATTTTCATCCTTCCTTTTCTCCGTGCTTCATTCTGATGTTCTTTCACTAAATGAAAGCTTTAACTGTTAATTCTGTCCATTTAATTCTTTCTTATAAGAGTAGGAAGAATTTATTGAGAGAAAGACGTCTTCTGTGTAGGAGAGACATAAGGGGGCTTGGAAGATGGGTTTCCTGTATCCTTTTAATTCTTAATTTCACTCGTGCACAGGTTTTATTTCTAGGGTTTCTGTTTGGTTTCCGATCTTACCTTCTCCTTCCTTCTGTAGGCAGCATATTTAGCTTGAGATCTGTGGCTGGTGGCTGCAGAATCTGGGTCTCCTGTTGGTCTGTGCCTCCTCTTTGTTCCCTTGGTTTAATTGTAGAATCTATTCTCTGCTGTACTCAGCTTTCTTTTCTGAGTTATGCTTTTGGTGGTGTATCCAGGGAAATTTTGTGTACTCCAAGACCATAAATATTTCTCCTATATTTTATCCTGTAAATTTCATAGTTTTAGGTATTGCGTCTGAGTTCATTCTGAGTCAATTTTTGCATAGAATATGAAATACCAAGTTCTTGCTTCCTCTGCAGCCCACTTGGTGGTGGTCCTCACTGGGACTCTTCGGGAAGAAAACCACTGTGTGGCTCTCTTCTCCCTCCTTGCCTCTCTTTTGTTTAAAAAAATGGATTTCCAATGTCTCTCAGCCATTTGTTAGAAAGACCGTCTTTCCTTTCTGTTTGCACCTTTGTTAAGAATCGATCTGCCGTGTGTGTGAGGGTCCATTTCAGGACTATTTTTTTCTATCGATCTGTGCGTCATCTTGCTGCCAATACCATAGTGTCTGGATTACTGTAGCTCTGTAATAAGTCTTGAGATCAGGTAATAGATCTTCTAAACTTCTTTTACTTTTTTCAAAGTTGTTTTTTGTCTGTTCTGGTCCTTGGTGTTTACCAATAAGTTTTAAATCAGCGTGTTAATTTCTACAGAAAAGCCTGCTGGGATTTTTATTAGAATCTCACTGATTATTTTTTTAAGCTCTGGAAAAATATTTTTAAAAATGTAGAAGTAATTTGAGTCAAGGATGGCGCTATTTTCTTTTAGAGGTGATTTGCTTTTACTCTTGGCTTGCAGCTGGGGACCCTCACAGTCCTAGATCACCTTAATCAATTATAGTGATTGAGACAGCTTAAAGAGATCTGGCCTCAGCCAGGGAGGCTCTGGTTCTGACCCACCTTCTCTTTTCAGTCTTCCCTTAGGGTTCCAATCCAAAGGATGATGTTTCATCCATGTTCCCTATCCTAGGCTGGGTAGAGAAAGGGGATGGGTGGGTTGCTGGGTGGAGAGCTAGATGGACAGGTGGATGGATGGGTGGACAGGTGTGGATGAATGAGGAGGTGAATGGATAGGTGAAGGGACAGATAGGTAGATAGATGCATGGACAGGAGGATGGACAGGTGGATAGATGGGGTAGGTAAATGGTGGACAGTTAGGTGGATGCATGGGTAGGTAGATGAATACATAGCTATCTATGCATAGACAGGTAGATGGACAGGTGGATAGATCAGTGAATGGATGGTAGACAGGGAATAGATGGATGGACAGGTAGGTGGATGGATTGAAAGGCAGAGGGATGGGTGGACAGGTGGATGGATGGGTGGATAGATGTTGGATAGGTAGAGAAGTGGGTGGGTAGATGACCCACCTTTCCTTCCAGTTCCATTCACGTTCCCTCTTCTAGGCTGGGTAGAGAAAGGGATGGCTGTGCCTTCCAAGCCCAGATTGAGGCCCCATTTCTTCCTCACCTTCCCCAGGGGAAGGAGAAGTTCCTGGCCATCCTGAACAAGTACATGGAGATCCACGGCACTGTGTACTATGAGAGCCAGCGGCCCCCTGAGGTCCCAGCCTTTGTGAAGAACCACGGCCTCCTGCCACAGCCTGAGTTCCAGCAGCTGCTGCGCAAAGCCAAAGTAAGCCTTGTCCCGGAACTGTCCTTTCCCTGTCCAGCCGCAACCAGACCGAGGAGGGCATCCCAGCGTGCCTGCCAAGACTGCCACCAGTTCTTCTCCCCGTGCACACATACCAGCGTGCTCTGCTAGCCTCTCCCTGTGGTGGCTCCCCTTGGTGGCTGGCCAGAGCCCAGGGCTGGGAATGGGAACCCCATAGGCAGGGAGGCCTTCCAGGGAGGGGCCTGCAGGGCCATGCAGTTGGGGGAGAGAAGCTGGGTACCACTGGAGCTATGAGCAGTGGTAGTACAGACAGAGGGGATCCCGGCAGGAGTCCTGGGGCCTTTGTCCTGGCTGGCTGCTGCTGTAAACCTCTAGGGTGACCCTACCACCACCACTGCCACAGCAGCAGCATCTGGTGCAGCAGGCACAGCCCTGCTGCTGGCCCTGGAGTCTGAGTTCTTATCAGAGCTTCTCTCCTCAGGTCTCTTGGGTGCATGCGTTTATACACGTGCGTACATGTGCGTGCGTGTATGTGTGTGTGTGTGTGCATGTGTGTGTGTGTTTGTATTGGGAGCAAGGGAAAGGGTAGGAAAGGCTCGTCCAGTGAGGAATTCCAACAGCCGCACCCAGAAGCCAGATCCTGGGCTTTTTATTAAGTGCCATCTGGGTGCCAGCTCTGTGAGTACTCCTGGCACCCTTGGATGCTGAAAGCTTTTAAGGACCGGTGAGTGGAGGTGCTCTGGGGCCGCCTGTATTGCAGGCTGCAGCCTTCTGCACTCTGAACACTCAACTCTTCCCTTCCCCTCCAGACCCGCAACTGAAAGACCAAGAAGGGGCCAGTGATGATACCAAACCAGATCCCTGCATTTCACAATGGGGAGGGAGGGGCCACCCATGCCCAAGGTAGCCCAGGCTGTCTTGACCACTGTGCACTCCACCGCTTCAGCTCTTCATAGGCTTTGGCTTCCCCTACGAGGGCCCAGCGCCGCTGGAGGCCATCGCCAATGGGTGTGTCTTCCTGCAGTCGCGTTTCAGCCCGCCCCACAGCTCCCTCAACCACGAGTTCTTCCGGGGCAAGCCCACCTCCAGGGAGGTGAGCACCTGGCTTGGCCACCCCGGGGGAGGGAGCCCCAGGGTTCCTGGAAGAGGGAGACCCAGGCATGGGCGCAGGGCAAGAGGGCCACGAGGGAGTGTAGGGGAGACACCTGTTGGCCCCTCCAGGTGTTCTCCCAGCATCCCTATGCTGAGAACTTCATCGGCAAACCCCATGTGTGGACAGTCGACTACAACAACTCCGAGGAGTTTGAAGCAGCCGTCAAGGCCATCATGAAAACCCAGGTGAGACCCACTCCAGCCAGGAACTCGGTGGGCCCACACCCAGCCTCTGCTGCTAGAGAGCAGGACCCGTCTGGGTAAACTCAGACTCACTGCTTGTGTGGCAAAGGAGTCCTCTGTCCCTGTTGAGCACAGCCCTGAGTCCCAGCATGCAGATCAGAGAGTGGAGCAGTCTGCACAACCTTGCATGGCAGCTGTGGATCAGGGATCACTTACTGAGCACTCTGGGGGGGCCAGACTTGTGAACCCTCCTAGCACAAGTTAGGTGCTAAGTAAATACCTTCTGGATAAACCCACGGAGGTCCTTTGCACTTTGCTGGTCATGTGGGTCTGCACCCTTTCAGCAGCGAGTCTCAAGCTCTAAGGTCCACACAGCTCTTCTGGAGAGCCTGTCATGGTGCAGTGAGTCTGGGTGAGGGTCAGCTCGAGTGTTCTAACAGTGGTGCCCACGGTGCTGGCCAGGGCCACACTGAATGCACGGGGCAGGTGGGGCGGGGGCAGGGACAGACTTGGATCTTGTTTAGTGCATGTGCGTCAGTTGGTTGTGGGCACCCATGAGGGAGAGCCGAGGCCCTAGAAGCTCCTCCCCTTGGAGGGCACCAGCTTGGCCTCCCTTGGTGCCCTTGTTCATTAGCTGGTTGCCTGGAGGGGCTGAACTGGGATGGTTGGGCTCTTTCACCCTTTCCTTTCCTGGCTCAATTCTGGCTGCAGCTCAGACACTGGGCTGAGTGGAAATTGCTACCAGATGTGTGCCCCCTTCCTGCCCAAGGAGTGCACCCCTCCTGGGAGCTGTGCTGCTCGGGGGCCTCTGTGGCTGGATGGCAGCAGAAGACAGATGGCTGACGAGTGGCACCGCAGCTGGGTCCCTCCCACAAGGCAGGCTACGTATGCCCTGGGAAGACACACTGTGACCGTTGGTGTTTGTCCAGAGCAGCAGGGAGTGCTGGGTCCAGGGCAGAGGCTGCAGGGCCACGTCCCTGTCGGGGTTGGATGGCACAATTTTGGCCCACACTCCTGGTTTGTCCTGACCCTGAGGCAGGTCACACTTATTTTTAAGCCCCCTGGATTCTACGCATCACACTCTATCATCAGGACCCCAAGCCTTAGCCCATACCCTCCTGCAAGTGGCCCCACAAAGTCCCTTCCTGCCCGGAATCCCCCCCGCCCATTTCCTGTGCCTAGTGGGACACCCTCATCTGTCCCTCCTCATAGTCGGGTGTTTCTCTGGCTTGAGTGGCCTATAGGAAGTTGCCAGACCGTAGCGCATATCTGTCTTCAGCTGTGGCAGACAAAGCTGGGCGCTGTGGCCGACTCACACTGTGGGACCTCCCAGGAATCTGCTTAAGCTCATTTCCTCCCCTCCTTTAAGTTCCTCAACGTCAAAGTCTGTCTGAGACTGGCTATTTCCAGGGGAGATTCTGATTCCGAGGTATCGAGGTAGGGACTCTATTTAGGAGATCCCAGGAAGGAAGACAGGAGGGACACGGGAAGCCAGGAATGCTATTAGCAGGTGGGCCCTGGTGAGACAGGCCAGGTCATAGCCCAGAGTTGTCCCGGAGAAGCAGGTACCAGGTATTTACCCTCCAGCTCCCATCCTTCAGTTGTCAAGGGCTGCACCTGAGGACTCCAGCTCCCAGGAACTCTGGCCTGTCCCCTGCAGGGATGAGCAGGCCAGAGGCAACCCCAAGGTGAGGCAGAGGAGATTGTGAGCAGGGCACTGAACTTGTAGCATTGCAGTGGCCACTGGGCCTTGTGATGCTGAGCTCTTGCAAAGTGCCAGGCCCAGCCTGGGTCTGGGTGGAGACGCACAGGATAATAAATAGTCTGCTGCTCTCAGCTCGGTCAACCCTGGCCTGGGCAGGGGGCTCAGGCCCTGCCAAGCTAATAGGAACTTGGTCCCTGAGTCTTGGCCAGCTATTGGATTGTAGTTAGTTTACAGGTTTAAATGGGACTTGCAAGTTCCTTGGGCAGGACAGCAGGCTTGGGGAGGGGCTTCAAGCTAAGGGGAACAGAGCTCAGGTGACTAAGTCATTTCCTGCTGGAAACTGATGGACCCAGCTCTCCAAACCCCAGCTGGACAGTGCTCAGGAGACCCCAGAGGGAGCTCCCAGCCCATACCCTCCTGTAGCTGCTTCTCTTCACTGCTCAGTGCACCCCTACCCGCATGCCCCCTCTCCCCAGCAGAGAACAGAGGCAGGATGCGGGGACCACAGATACCTCCAGCTCAGTGGTCCACAGGTGTCCCACTCTGTCCCCTCTGCAGACCCAAAGCTGGGGTGCAGGTGGGGAAAGGGGAGTGTGTCACTCCCACAGGACCCAGAGGAATCTGTAAGCCACTGTCCTGGGGGAGGGGCTGAGGTCTAGAGGGGGAGGAGGCTCCCTATTGATTGCTTTCCCTTTTGTTTATAGGAGCATTAATTTTGTTAATTAGTTAATTAGAGAATAACAGTAACAAAAGAAACAAAGAACCAAAGGCTCGCACATCTGCCAAGCCCAGACATGCAGGGATCCCCAACCAGCTCAAGGATCACTGGGGAGGGACTTACCATACAGATTCCCTGGCTGGCTGGCCACTAGGTCCCCTGACCACACGGGACCAAGTGTGGGCCCTGGAGTCTGTCTTGTAAACCGGTATGCTAGGCAATCCACAGTTGTGCTGTAGGGATGCTAGGTTTGGGAACAGCCGGCCTGGGCTAAGAGCAAGTGAGGGTCCTGTAGGTCCTGGCCGTTTAGACAGGAGAGGGAGGAGAGAGCCCACGGCAGCCTGGGCAAGTCCAGAGCAGGCGCCTTTGTGGCTCCAGACCCTGCAGGCCCCTGTGGCCACCCCTCCACCCACACAGATCTTTCAAGGTGAGAACACAGGCCACAGTCCTGTCCTGTCACAGCGTGGAGACCGATGGCGGCACCTGTGTGTAATGAGGCCTCATTGGTGATGGCTAGGCAGGCTGCTCCCCAAGGGAGATTTCGGCAGGCAAGGCAGGCTGGCCAGGAGTGTCCCATCACATGGCCCTTTAAATCACCTGTTCCAGGGCTTCAAAGGCACGAGGGGCAATAAATTAGGGATTTGCTGTCACAGAGCAGGGCAAGTTGCATTTGGAGAGGGAAATCTCACTGGGGCTTTTTACTTAAACCCAGGGTTTGAAGGTTTGTCCCTGAGAGGTCCCCAGAGGCATCTGGGAACACACTGAGGCTCCCTGGGTTCTGTCCTGCATGTTAGGAGCCCAGCCAGGGCAGCAGCCAGCTGTCTCCCGGGGACAGGGCTGGGAAGGCTGTGCGTCAGTGGTGTGGTGTGCATCTGGGGACCCAGAACTGCCTCAGGATTAAGCATTGCCTCCTCTCAGTGACTGGTAAGTCAGCACTGGGACAAAGTCAGAGTCGTGGCATCTTGTCCTAGAGGCCAGAGGTGGCTGGGACCAGCTTCCATGGAAGCAGTATCTGCCACCCCCCAAGACCCTTGATGCGGATACCCCAGAGGGCCCAGCCCAGTCACCCCAACTTCTTGGCATCACCCTCCCGGTGAGAAGTGGGCAGGGGCAGCTCAGGCTGACCTCCTCAGTTTCACCACAAGGCAGAGATCACCAGGTTCCAGAGTGGCCAGCAGGAAATGGCAACGCTGGGCCAGGCTGAGTGCCAACCCCATGTGACATTCCGGGAGGCTACAGCCAACTTCTTCTAACTGCAGGCTGCGTCAGCCCCTGTCCTGACACCCCAGTTCTTGGTCCTGTCTTTTGGACCAGTGATGCTGGGTAAATAGAGCAGAAAGGGGCTGGGCAGAGAGGAGGGACACACACGCTTAGCTCCTGTGTCACCTCACCTTGGCTGTCCTGGCTTCTTGCATCCCAGTTATTCAGCCCATGCACCCTTGTATGTACCACTGAGCAACTGCTGGACATGGAGACAGCAGGAGGCCTGTTTGGGGGTGCAGATCTTATGTGGCCACGTGCCTGGTGTGGGTGATGACAGTTGTCATCTCTTCCATCTGGCCAGGAGTCAGGCAGAACTGCTGCTGCTCTTACGTTCTTCAGTCATTTCCTGAGGGCCTACTGTGTACCAGGCACTCTGCCAGGACAAGCTATAGTACCCCCTCGAGGACCCCACAGGCTCTGGATAATGCAGAGGAGGCCATGGCACTGGTGCTAGGTTGTGCAGGGAGGAAGTCTGGGTTCTGGGAGCCCCCCAAGGAACGTGGTCCTGTACTGGGAAGGTGTTGGGATTGCTTCTGAGTAGGTGATGCCCGGGCCGGAGTAGGGTGCTGGGGGAAGGGGAGCATTGCAGCCCAGGAGGGGACAGAGCTCTGGGTGTATAGGGAGCAGCTGGGACAGAGAGCTGGGAGGAGGCAGGAAGGGGCGAGGACTGAGCCTGAGTTGCTGAGGGCCATGGGGGTTGGGTACTGAGGAAAAGAGACCCAGCTTAGTAGAGGAGCCAGGTAGATGGGGCGGTGGATCCCTGGGCTGTGGGTCTGCGCCCCAGTGCTGAGTGTGGGGAACCACAGTGGCCAGCTCTCTGTCCTGCACACCTGCCTGTCTCCTGTAGGTAGAGCCCTACCTGCCTTACGAGTATACCTGCGAGGGGATGCTGGAGCGGGTCCACGCCTACATCCAGCATCAGGTAGGTGGGCCCTCCATTGTCCGCCCCGGAGACTTGGGAATCCTGGCCCAAACCCCATCTGACCAGAGGAGGGGCCCAGCCAGCACTAGGGTCTGCACACTCAGCAGACTGGGCCACTCCACACACTGGCTCGGAACTCCTGAAAGTGAGTGCATTGAGGGTTAGGGGGTCCCGAGGGGACCCTGCCTACCCTCTCCTAGGGAGGCCCGGCCAGCCCTGCATGGCCCAGGATCTGAGCCGAACGAGGGTCACAGTGGCCCAGGCAGATGGGTGGGATCAGCCTGGAAATGAGCTGCGCTGGGCCTGAGGTCACTGCAGCACAGCTATTGGGCAGTGAGGTCATAGGGCTTGGAGAATCTGCCCTGCACTGTCCCTTTGCCACTGGGGAGATTCAGGCTCCCAGAAGGGAGGGCTCACTGGGCTCCTGGGCCAGGCTTGTTCTTCCCAGTCAGCTCTACAGGTGCCCTTGTGAAGCTCATGGGCAAAGCTTTTGCCAGGGAGGCATGGTGGTCTGCACCTATAATCCCGGCTACTCAGAAGGCTGAGGAGAGGGTGGCAGCCAAGGCAGTTTATGAAGACTGGCTCAGAATAAAAACTACAAAGGGCTTGGGGATGTAGCCCAATTGTAGAGTGACCCTGGGTCAACCCCTAGTACTCAAGGGAAAAAGGAAGGAAGGAGGGAGGGTAGCACAGACACGGGGCAGGAGAAAGGAGGAAGGGAAGACATTTGGAGGCCATGTGCCCTGGCGTTGAGCCTGTGGGGCAGCCTCACAGGTGTGCCCAGGCCTTTCACATTCAGACAGGACTCACAGGCCTCAGACAGAGGCCCCAGTCCTGTTGCGAGGGTCTGCAGGCTGGGTACCTTGCAGATAAGCTGGAGTGTGCACCCTGCCTCAGCTGCCCAGCCCTGAGCCCTGCGGTGCTGACGCCCTCACACGGTACCTGGAGATGGGTGGTGTCCATGCAAGGGCCTCCTGCCCGCACAAAGGGAATCATGCACGCGAGGCCACCTGGCACTCAGCGTGTGCTCTTCTGAGGGTGTTGCTGGAGCTGCAGGGTTGGAGCCCACTGGGTCCCTGACACCTCTGTCCTCCCACCAGGACTTCTGTGCAGTCTCAGGCTCCACCCTGCCAGGCGCCCACACATCCCACAACCCCTTCGTCCTGGCCCCCAATGCCACGCACCTGGAGTGGGCTCGCAATGCCAGCTTGGTCCCTCGGGCCTGGCCCCCTACTCACTCTCTGCGGGCCTGGCTGGCTGCTCCTGGGAGGGCCTGCACCGACGCCTGCCTGGACCACGGCCTGATCTGCGAGCCTTCCTTCTTCCCCTTCCTCAACAGCCGAGACGCCTTCCTCAAGTGAGTGCCCCCCAAACCCCCACCTGTCCAGCTGCCCTGGAGCTCCCCACCCTCAGCCTCAGCTGCAGTGCCATGGGAAGCGTCATGCTTCCCAGTCCACTCAAAGGCTTCAAGGGGTGTCCCTGTCATCCTGCTATCCCCAGTCCTGTCCTTCTCCACCCCTCCGCCCTGCCTGTTTGGGCATCTTGTAGACAATGAAAGCTGCCACAAGTGTCCCTCCTGTTAGGCCAGCTAGGACCGCCCCCAGCCCCCGCCAGGTCAGTCCCCTTTTTTGCAAGTCCTCAGAAGTGGATAAGACACCACAACCTGCCTCTTCCCTTTCTCGGGCACAGAAGGGGCAGGCAGTGCCAGACCCACTGTGGGTGACGATGGCACTGGTGCTCATGCAGGCTACAGGTGCCCTGCGACAGCACGGAGTGGGAGATGCACCATCTGTACCCAGCGCTTGCGCAGCCCGGCCAGGAGTGCTACCTGCAGAAGGAGCCCCTGCTCTTCAGCTGTGCTGGCGCCAGCACCAAGTACCAGCGGCTCTGCCCATGCCGAGACTTCCGCAAGGGCCAGGTGGCCTTGTGCCAGGGCTGCCTGTGAGATTCTGAAGACACACTGCCTGGCTCCTAGGCCAGCCTCCCATGCAGGAGAAAGCACCAGCAGATTCCCAGTTCCAGCTGCCCGCGTACTGCAGTGGCTCTAGCAGGGGCTTCCGTCCCCGGCCAGGAAGTGGGCAGAGGAGCGCCGAGCCCAAGTTCGGGAGGCAGCAGCCCTAAGCTGCAGGACCCCATCTGGGTGGCATCTCACTTTCACCCCGGGTGCTCAGCAAAGGGAGTCAGAGTCCCCTTGCTTTGTAAAAGGTGAGATTGGAACCAGATAGAGAAGGAGTCTGACCTTTCCCAAGTCCAGGAATAGGGAGCAGGGCCATGCCAGCCTATGACCCACTGAAGGGGCCCAGAAACAGCGAGCAAGCCCTGGGCTGTGCTTGCTTTGCAGGTGCCCTCTTCCTGGAAGGGCAGCCATGCACATAGGACCAACGGCATCCCTCTGGAATTGATTTAGGGATGCACAGAGGGGCAGAGGTGGGGGAGGCAGAGAGACCCCGCCCATGCCTCCTTAGCTCCGCCTCTCCCTCCCCTTCGCCCCTTCTGCATCCCTCCCTGCTACTCTCGGAACCCCCAGCTGGGTTGGACTGTCTCTCTCTAGCTCTCCATCCTGCCTGCAATTCCAGACTCAGAGCTCATTTGTGCAGCATCAGTCCTGCTGTTGCTACCCCTGGGGCCAGTTTCTGCCCTCTGAGAACAGGCTCTGGAGCCCCACCAGGCCCTGACCTGCACCCCAACAAACACCCTTTGCAGACAGAGTCTGGGCTAGAGCCCCTGACACCCCTGCCCTGTTCCACCAGCTCCAGGGGAGCTCCCACCTCACCCCTGCTGCTGCATCTGCATCCCTCCCTCCAGCTTCCCGCAGCCTCAGACCACCTCTGGATCCCAGCGCCCATCTTTGCGTGGCATGCCTGCCCCTCACCCCCCACCCAGAGCCCTGTCGGATCTCACGGGTCAGGCCCACAGAGACTGGGCTTGGAGAGGCCAGGCCTGCCCTGAGCCCCACCAGGGAGGTGACGGGCCCTGAACGTGGAGGAGGGAGCTGGGCCACATTGCAGGGCTGAAGGTGCACAGATCCCCTTCTGGCCTTGTGGCCCCTGCAGCCCCAGAATAGTCAGTCGGCTGCAGGAAACAGCGGTTCCCAAGGACCTGACCTGCCGGGGGAAAGCAATAGAGACATTTTTCTCTTTCTCTCTTTTTTTAAAAATTTATTTCTTGAAATAATAAATATTTTATTGGGATGTGAGATGCAGAAGATGAGCCGTGCTACCCTTGTGTTTTCCTGGGGCCCCAGGGTTCTCCTTGTGTGGGGCAGCTGCATATCTGGGGCCCTCAGCCCTCGCCTGTGTCCCAGAGCACGCAGCATGCTGAGACGGCAAAGCTGCCCTGGGGAGTCCCTGCAGGTGCCAGAGACCCGTGGAGCCTCTTGGCTCCCCTGCACTGTGACCGGGGGACCTTCCTAGTCCTTCTCCTGTGCTTGACAAGCGGAGTCAAGCCCTGTCCTGCCCTCGCTGACTGGCCTCCTTCTGCCTCCCCCCTGTGGCTCTGGAGTGAGGCTGGGAACACAAGTTGTATTGGTAAAGTCTGGACCAGATGACCAGAAGTGGCTCAGGTGTGCTGAGGCTCACTGTGCTGGCTCTGTGCTGAGAGTATGATGCACAAATTGTCGTGTTACATGCTCAGCCATCTATCACTACTATCATATCCCCATTTTACAGTTGAAAAAATGGAGGCACAGAGATGCTTTTTCAGGCTTGTTATTTGTCCAAAGCCATACAGCCTGGGAGCTGGGATTTGCTATAAAATGGGAACCATCTCAAAGTTGCTCTAGGGAGCAAACAACACACTTCACTAGTGTGATAGCCATGAGGTGCTCGGCAGACATCTATGGTTTTGTGTGGTCTGCATTTGAGACTCTGTAGTTGGAGGCTTCCTTCCCACCAGAGTTCTCAGCTGCAGGCAGTTTTGGCATCGTTGGCACTGTGTGGAGACATATTTGCTGCAGGGGCCACAAGGCCAGAAGGGGATCTGTGCGCCTTCAGCCCTGCAATGTGGCCCAGCTCCCTCCTCCACGTTCAGGGCCCGTCACCTCGCTGGGAGGGCTCAGGGCAGGCCTGGCCTCTCCAAGCCCAGTCTCTGTGGGCCTGACCACATCTTTCCATGGTTTGACAGCTCAGGTTTTTGGCGCTCAGTAATATTCCATTGTCTGGATGAAACCGTTTTGGAATCCATCTACCTACAGACGGGCATTTTGGTGGCTTTCAGGTTTGGGCAACTATCAACACAACTGCTGTACACGTGTGGGCAGGCTTTTGGGTACACAGAAGTTTTCTGCTTATTTGAATGAACACTAAGAAGTGTGACTGGTGGTGACAGGGGTCGGTTTCATTCCGTGGGAAACCGCCAGGTGTGGCTATGCCACTTGGCGCCTCTCCCAGTGCCAGTGAGCTGAGGCTCAGCATGTGGTGCTGCTGCTGTTGGATCTGAGCCGTTCTTACAGCTGTGAAGTGGCGGCTTTGGCCCGGGATTTAGCTTAGTGGCTCAAGCCACTAAGCATGCTAAGTACAGTGTCATGAGTTCGATCCCTGGTACAAAATAAAAGTGGTAGCTTTGATTTGCATTTCTCTGATGACATAGGACGCAGAGGCTCGTGTCACACCTGTTTGCCACCTGTGTGTCATCTTTGGTGAGATGTTCGAGTCTTTGGTCCATCTTTTATTTGGGTTGTTTGTTTCTTACAGCTGGGTTTTAAGGTTCTGTTTCACAGTTGCCTTCTGAGTGCCGTCTGGAATGTAAATGAGCTGGGATGGGGGCAGTGGGAGCAGGAGGACGTGGACGTGGTCATTGGAAAGAACTTGTGCCAGCACCACGAGATGCAGGCCCAGACACTGGTCCCTGGGGACACTGTAAGCTCCCCAGCCCTTCCTGCCTGAGACACCTGTCTGTCTACTCCTTCAGCTCCCCACCCTAAGCAGGGGAGGAAATAGCAGGTGTGGGCCAGGCTCACCAGCTCTTCAAGACGACTTCACCTCCACTTAAGGTGAAGACTCAGGGATCATGGGTAAATTGCGTCCTCCCAGGAAGGGAGCACTGATAGCCTGGTGCATGTGAGCATTGGAAATAGGGTCTTTGCCAATGTAATCGTGTTGAGATGAAGTCACCCTGGAATGGACCCTAAATCCAACGACTGGTTTCCTTATAAGAGGAAAAGACAGACTCACACAGAAGAAATCCAGTGACCACCCAGGCAGAGACTGGCACGATACAGCTGCAAACCAGGGGCACCAAGGTGAGACTGTAGCCACCAGAACCAGGAGAGACAGAAGGCCTCCCGGGAGCGCAGCCTGCAGACCTTTGGCTCCTGATTCTGGCCTCCAGGACTGAGGGAACACATGGCTGTTGTTTTAGCCATTTTTATGGCAATTTATTACCACAGCCACAGGGAACTAATACAAAGGAGTCAGGTACCCACCAGCCCCAAAGGTGGACCTGGACACCCTGAGTGAAAGTCTGGTGCCCCTAGGCTGTTGGTCCATGGACAACTGGGATTTATCTTTTCCCAGAAAGCAGGTTGCTGCTCAGTAAAAATCCCACAGAGTGAAAGCTGGACCCAGGTATCCAGGCCCCTACCCAAATAAACACCCACAGCACAGGCCCTTGGGGCTGCTGGGACCAGCATGCAGAGGATTACTGCAGGAGCAGGGGGACGTCCCTTTGCTTGGCCTCCTAAGCTGACTCTGTGGTCTTCTAGCCCAGGCCCGCCCTGCCTGGAGTTGGTCTTAGCTCCCCACCTCGGAATCTACTGAAAAAAATCCCAAGCCTTGGCTTCTGCACCCCTTTGAATATTGGACCCCGTGGCTTTGGAGACAGATAGAGCACACTGGGGCTGGATGTGGAGGAACAGAGACTGTGCCCACCTTGGGCTGCTGCCCACATGGGACAGCCAGTCACATCTTCCTCCAGGGCCCTTGGGGAGCCTTTCTAGCTTGGAGAACTGGGGAAGCCCAAGACTGGGTGCATTGAGCATTTGGTTCTGAGAGTGGTAGCCTGGCTCCCAGACACCGTACCCCTCTGCCCTGGACTTCCTTGCTCCCTCAAACCTCTCCCTGTGCCCTAACCACCGTCAAGTCCTCAAAAGGTGGGAGGCAGGGGCACCACAGCTGGTGGATGCCTCAATGGCTTTAGATACCCTAACTCCCCAACTGTCCCCTCTCCCCATCATCTATGCATTCAACAAACATTTAGGCACAGCATGGAGGGAACAGTCTCCCTTCTGCTGATCATTTCTGGACAACTGGATACTCCTGAGCTTCCAGAATCTGATGGTGGAGACATTTTGGGATAGCTTTAGGATAAAAGATTGCCCCAGGGACAGGAAGAGTGTGCCATGAGCTGGGATGGGGGCAGTTGGGAGCAGGAGGACGTGAACGTGGACGTTGGAAAGAACTTGTGACGGGACCACGGGATGCAGGACCAGGGTGTCTGGGGGTGGCTGGAGGAGGTGCGTGTGAGTGGGTGCAGTGGGGAAGACCCATCTGCAGGTACCATCTCCTCGGCAGGGGCCCCAGAGAGTGCAGATGCGGGTTCCTCCCCTTCTGGGCTGAGCCCCCTTTCCTGCTGTCATCACAGCTCCAGGGTCTTGGGCTCTGGGCTCCAGGACGTGGTCCGTGGTTCTCAGTCCTGTGGCTTCCCTGGACCTGAGGCCCTGGGCAGGGCACTCAGCCACCTGGCCGGCATCTGAGGGTCTCCAGGCTGCAGGTGGCCTCCTGAGACTGGTCAGTTCCCGAATCACCTGAGCCTAATGCACCTCTTGTAACGTCTCTCTGCCTGCTTGGTTCTGTGTCTCTGGAGATCCTCCCTCCCCCATTTACCTGTGCGGGGGTCTAGGTTTTCCATGCCATCCTGTCACCAAGGAGGCCACAATCCTGCAGAGGCCTGACACCTCCATCCCTCTCTGGTGGGTTAGCCTTGGAGCCCCAGCCCTACATGGCCAGGCTCACATTTATACCATCTGGATTTCCGTCTCCAGCTTCTGGCTTCCTCTGGGTCGCTGGGTTCCCCCTCCTTCCTGCAAGCTCAGCTCCACGGAGGCCGCTGGCTGTTTGTGGTGGTTTATCTCATTTTCCGAAGCTTCATGAAGACAAGCTTTCTGGTTATCAGGCAGACCTAGGAGAACTAAGATGACACTGTTTATCTTCTCAGGGAGCTCACATGGGAGAAGGAGCTTCTTGCCTGGGACAGAGCAGAAAGCTCTGCACATCCTTAGGCTTGAGCCTGAGACATTTATCCTCTTAGACATGTCTTAGCACTCTTCAGTCTGTATTTTGAGACAGGCCTTGATTTTGCAATTTTCCTGTCTCAGCTTCCCCAGAAGCTGAGATTACAGACATCTCACCCAGGCAAACCTTATTTCAGGGTGTGTGTGTGTGTGTGTGTGTAGGGGTGCTGGCTGGTTATTTACTTATTTATTTAGCATATATTCATGCAGTGCTAGGGACTGAGCGCTGGGCCTTTGCACTAAACTATGTCCCCAATTCCAGCTCCTCCCTCACTTTTTGGGGGGAAGAGGGTACCAAAAATTGAGCTCACGACCTCACTCCTGCCAGGCAGGCACCGTGCTGCTGAGCTGTATCTCTTGCCCTCCCTCCCTTTTGATTGAGACAGGATTCCACTCCATTGTTAGGTTGCCCAGGCTGGGCTTGAACTTATGATCCTCCTGTCTCAGCCTCCCGGAGTGCTGGCAAGCCTGGTTTTGACACTTGTCACTAGCCGTGACTCTGCACAGCTGGCCTCTCTTGAGTTTTGCTCCATCATTTACCTTAGTGAGGACAATACTACTGGGTCAACTTCCCGAGACTGCTGTGGTGAGCGGGCTTAAAATGACATGGATTCATTATCTCACAGCCCTGGAGGTCAGAAGTCTGAAATGGGTATCGCTGGGCTAGTGACAGGACTGCGTCCTTCTGGGGACCCCTTTCTGCTCCCTTTCACCTTCCAGAGGCTGCCCATGCCTCAGCCCTGGCCTTTCCTCTACCTTCAAAGCCGCAGTTGGCTGGGGGATCCCCCTCTGACCCGTCCTCCTGCCTCCCTTCTCCACTTCCCAGGGCCCCATGATTGCACGGGGCCTCTGTGAATCCCCCAGGATCAGCTCCCTATTTTAAGATCAGTTGATTAGCAACCTCAGTCCCATTTGCAGCCTTGATTCCCCCTTGCCATGTGTGTTAATCAGGGCTCTCGGGAAACAGATGTGTGTAT